CAGTCGCCTTCCCTCGTTCCCTCAGCTTTGCCACTTGTAAAATTGGCAATATCAAGTACATGTATAATGTGCTTGAACACCTCAGATGGAAGATACCCACTTTACAAGTTAATCAGAGCTGCTAGAGGCAGAAAATATTTTAGACCGTTTTCCTAACTCATTTCCCAAGAAGTATTCAGTGCGCTTTTTGAAAAGTACTCATACTGTATCATACTAGCAACAATAAAAAACCCACAGCTCTTTCAAGGAAGATTTGTGATCATCATAGTTTGTTGGCCTTGCGGAGCCTAACTGTTGCATTTTTATTCTTAAGGCACATCTGTTTTGAGTGTGCCGCTAAAATACCTACAGGCTGGAAGTCTGAAGCAATTTTTGCTAATTGTTTTGAGCAAAGCTACGTTTATGCAAGGCTAGATGTTTATCAGACAGTTTAACAACTCCTCATACAGTAGCTGCAAATAGGGGTTGTCACAGAGACTGTAATGCAGTGGATGGTCTCCATGTACTTTGTCATGGTAATTTTGACTAAGTAATCTATTAATGGTGGTCCCACTCTGGTTTTCTGCCTCTCTTGGTTGGCCATTTTTGGCACTAAAGCTCGTAGTCAGTTGGTATAAATCCCACCCAGGTCTTGGAGACTGGTGTTTCTAGTAGCTATGCGTGCATGAAGGACTTGAGCGAGTCTGTAGAAAAAGCTACGCAGAGGGATTTACTTAGATTTTGGGCAATGTTAGCATGTGCCCCTTTCTTGAAGGTAAAAATGTATATGGCGATCATCTACAGTTTTATCCCTTTTATCCTAAGACAAGCATGTTTATATGCATTTTTTTTAAACATTCATTAGAATTTACGATGTGCCCTGTGGTACTTGCCTGAATGTAGCTAGCAGTAGCGCTAAATGCGAGATCCTTATACAAAATGTTGATTGTAATAAAGTTGTCAGTAGCATTTCCACTTGGAAGGACTTTTTCAGAAGCGACTCAACCCTGGAAAACTTATATGTAGCTCTTGGAAGCTTTATTGTAAAGGTGTGCCTGGTGGGAACGGCATCTTTGTACATCTGAGGTTCTGGTTTCCTCCTCTCTGAGCACCAAATAGGGTTAGTTCAGTAGAGAAGCTGAGAAAATGTAATAGAAAGAAACATGTCTTCGCAGGGCAGGCATACCCTGGCAGCTCTCATCTTAGTCTTCCATGGATATACTTTGCAACTTGATTGCAACAGCGAGGATGTTGTCTCATTATTTATTTATTATATGATAACATTGTGTCTCCAAACATGGTATTTTCTCTGGTTGATTTGGATTAATTTACGTGATCTTTCTCTGATCACGTAATTTACGTGATCTGATGATACTGAAATGATTCTTTACGTCGTTTTCTGGGGCTGTTACTGACATTTCCAGATAAAGGTTCCCTAGGCTTTATGCTGAAGAAAACAGTTGGAGTTTTTTTCCAGTTTCATTTAAAAATCAGATGTTAAAAATGCAGCTTCTTTGCAAAGAGGAGTAGTAGCAATTTGTAGAACACATGGGGTATGATATTTGAGAAATACTGCAATCCTTGCACCCGCATCGTTTATTTTGGTGGAGAAAAAACAGACTGGCTTGTGTTCCTTCTTTATTGTTTCTTATTTTTGAAGACTAGAACATGTGTTTGCCTCACGGTAAAGCAAAGGCACACTCTGGGCTAAAAAGATTTCATTTTATTTCTCATGGCGTCCTCAGTTGGTAGTTGCACACTGAACAGCACTGCTGACCCGAGGAGACCCTAGGTCCCGCTGTTTGCTCCCAACTCTCCCATAGCTCGTTCTATGGAGGCACAGCAGCTTGGAGCTGGAGGCTTGTTAAACTGGCCCTTCCAAAATGTAGCCACAGCTGCCTGCTCCAAGGAGGTGAAGGAGGGGAGACTAAAGGATGATTCTGAACAGGCTACTTCTCGTGAGGAATGAACAGCTTAATTGGTGTGTTTCTCTATCAGTTTCTAAATTGTTATCTTTTGTTGCTTCTCACTTTTTTACCTTTTGCCTGTGGATGCCAGAATGTATGTAACATCTTTAGAGTCGGGTTTCTGAGCAAGAAGAAAAGGAATTTGGCCCTAAAAAGAACTCAGTGACAAAAGAAAATAACCACAAATTAGAGTGTTTGTGTCTGTAGAAGACAGGAGCGATAATTAGTGTTCGGATCATTTGATGGTGCATAAAAGAACTTGTACCTGAGAATTGGTGGCAAAATGTAAATTATAGTGATTAACTTTTACAGCAGAGCTTCTAGCTGGGTTTTATTTTTCTTCTCCACTCCCATTCCCCAAGTCCTTCCTGATGATTGTGCAGATTTTTCATAGCATCCCAGGAGAATTGCATTATGTAGGCCAGTAATTATACAGAATCATTGTAGTTGAATGTCATTAAATGAAGCCATATGTGCTGATGGCATGAATTCCCAAGGAAAAAAAAATAAAATCAAACTTTCATTTCCACCTAAACTATATGGTTTCTTATGGTCCTCTTACTAAAACTAAAGGGAAAATCATGGCTGTTTCTAATCGAGCATCTTTTGATTACTTCTGATAATTTTAAGATACTTAAAATATTATTTAATGATTGTAGAATGCTTTTATGAATGGCTTACCTGCAATTCCTGCAGATCATCATGTAGTATTTGAATTTTTCCTTAATTTAATTCTTGATATCTCAATAATTGAGGTGGGAGGTGGGGGACCAACAGTGGCTATCTCTTGTCCTGAGAATGAGGACTGAATTTCTTCCAGATACAATCAAGCTGTTCCAGGTGTCTGTTACAGTATGAGGAATCCTGTGCATGCTTCTTGGTGTCGAATACTCTGATAACTTCCTATCACTACCATAGTGCTCCAGCTCCAATTTAGTTTTTCTAAACTTTATCCAAAACCTTTTGCTCTCCAAAAATGCTCTCAATTAACAAGTGTGTCTCTTTATCTGTCAGTATCCTATCGACCTGCTTGTGTTTACTTGTAGGGTGAAAAGCTTCAGTCATATCCACAGTTCTGTACATAGTTCCTGAAGCAGAATATCCTCCCAAAATACTATATTGTAAAACCACAGCTCAAAATACGCAATGCACTTTAAAGAAAAGTGTATTTTAAACTGTATGCTAATTTTCTTGCTTATTTGCCAGGCTGCTCTTGGCATCTATGATATGATACATATTATAATAAATATTAAAGTAATAATACTTAAAATACACAATGTGTATATACAATATGATATATAATAAAATATTAATTTATTATATATACATATGCATTTTATGTATACTTTTATGTAGAGCATACTGAACATAATTTTTTGCCCTCTTTGCCTAGTAATATTAAGGACCAACACTACCAGCCTATCTAGGAGTTGTAACTGGTTTTTATCAAGAAACGTTTTCTCACAACTAGCACTTCCTTGAGAACTACCTGGTGGATTAAAGAATTCCACTTCAGTGTAGGAAAGCAGAAGTTCTGATCACATTGCAGAAGACTTCTCCACTCCTTGAGTGTATTTAGAAGGGAGTAAAAATGAAAAAAAAAAAAGCCCATACATTTTCTTTAAAGATGTGCATCTTCCACAAATCTTGGTGGTTTAATTTTGCGGTGGTGGTGCCTCACAGGTGGGCTGGTTTACTCAGCATGTGTAGGAGTTTTCTTTCAGTATTGAAAAAGAATAGAGAAGGGGGAATGAAGAGAAACTTAGTACCTCTCCCCCTAGCTCTTATTTTTCTCTACTTTCTTGCTATAAATTATGTTTACTTATACCTGTTACAAATACGAAGGTTGTGATGTGCAGCGCCAAATATGCGAGCTTGATGGACAGGAAGATCTCTTCCTATATTTTCCCAATCTGCCATCTTTTGTAAAGGCCTTTCAAATGTACAGACAAAGGGAAGAAAAAAAATAACTCTGTAATACAAAATCCGTATTATTGTTGCTTGACTTGCATACATATGGGGAGTTGCATCTTTCCCCTGGTGTGAGGGACTTCACAGCCATCCATCCCCATGTACATTAGATGGAAACACGGGCTGCAGCAGCCAGTGCTCTTTGGTGGGAAGGTGGGAAGACTACAGTCCACTCAGACTCCTCATTAAATCCACAGCACTTAGCTGTTGGGACTCGTGGTGCTTAACTTGAGCCATATGAAAATGAAACATAGTTGAAGGTGATTTTTTAGACTCCATCTGTTGCCAATGGAGAAACTCCACAGCATTAATTCTCCTTGTCTGAGACATCTAATTTAAGATGAGGAGAATTGCCTCCTAAGGGTATTTTTCCATTGACTACAGCAGGAGCCAGACAAGTGGCATAGATTAGATAACTGACTTCTATAAGGCTAAATGTAGGTGAGATTATTTTCCCAGGTGGCAACATAAATTTAACCTTAAATTCTTTTTTCTGTTTCAGTAAGAGAGAGAGATGTGAAAATGCATTGTTTTATCAAGATATGAAAAGAGTGGTGAAGAGTTTTCTATTAAGCTAAGAACTAAGAGATTATTCAGAGACTTTATTCAGTCTTCCAGCTAATTTTTCTCAGTCAGAAACTGTTCTTTACCATGGGGCCATCTGTTTCAAATTCCTTCCTTGCAGTGGATACAGGGATGAAAATGTGGCTAAGTTGTGTAGAGAGCTGATAGAAAACTGGTCTCCAAATATATAATGCTGTTTCAGTGCTAATGTTGTACAGTTACAGGAAAACTTTGTGTACTTAGAAATGCCTGACCTTTTAAGGTTGTTATAGTAAATACTGCCTTAAGCCCTAGTGTTCCTGATACAATGCAAGTTGCATCAGATTTGAATATCAGTGTAACGAAAGAGTAGCTCCTGTCTAAAGCCCCCCTCCTTCTTCCAACAATAAGCTGCAGTTGGTCGTCCCAACTCTTTTCTTCTGTCTAGACAAACTGTGATATATGTTAGAGACCTGCTCAAACTTCTCAGTTTAAGAGTCTTTTTTTGCAAATGGTAACTGCTTTTCAGGCAAAATCCAGGAAGCCCTCTTCTGAAAGATGTGTGGGTTTCTTCTTTTGGTTTGTTGTGGGGTCTTAAAGAAATGTTTCCTGTTGCTTAAGTTCCTTCAAAATATGTTTTCTTCCTCAGCCAGGAATTCCAGCAAGAAATTGGACTTCGGTTCTTTTTTGCTAGTTCAGCTGCAATCTCTTGTATTACTTTTAAGCTGCCTAATGACCGTGAACCCTAGATTTCCCATTTGTGAAAGGGAATGAGGGGAGGGTGGTATATTGCATCCTTAGAGGTTGCTTACAAAATTTTTCATTACTAGGTGAGATGTTTTTAATGAAACATTGGTGGAAGGCTCTTAAGAAGAGCAAACTGATTCTGCTATTCTACCCACTATTGATAATTGTGCCCAGAGTTCTGCTTTAAAAATAGTTAAACAAGGTGCATATATACACATTTGAGGCAAATTTTGTCTTTATTTTGTTTTTTTCCTAGTACCATGAGCCCCCGACACTCTGCCAGCCCGGTTGTTTTTACCAGTGCCAGAAGCTCACCTAAAGAAGAGCTTCATTCTGCTACTTCTCCCCAGCTCGCGCCTTCTTTCTCCTCTTCCTCTTCCTCCTCATCTGGTCCTAGGACTTTCTACCCTCGCCAGGGTGCTACTAGCAAGTATCTGATCGGATGGAAAAAGCCAGAAGGGACAATAAACTCAGTGGGGTTTATGGATTCAAGAAAGTAAGACTGTTTTTTGGTTCTCTTGTTTGGTTATTTACTTTAATTGTAAAGAAGCGTTGAGATCTGTGACACTTCTCTGTATAGAAGAGCTCAGGACTATTTAATAGAATGCTTAGTCTTCTGTAGAACTTGATCTCTAATCTAGAGTTCTGCAGTTAGGCTTAAATATTTGACAGTTGGCTAATCTAATTCACTGTTAAGTTGTGAAAGATTTTTTTTTTTATAATTTCTAGAGAGCTGTATGGATTTCAGTCCTATTAAAGCTTATCTTTCCTTGGGACTTCTTAAAGGTGACTCAAAAATGCTATTTGAGCAAATACTAAAAATCCTCTTAACATAGAGCCTGAGTTCTTCCTTAAGCCTTTCATCCATGTAGTAGTACCGTGCATGCTATGCATTAGCTCTGTGGCACTCCATGTTGCCTTGTTAAGATTGCTGCCTTATTGTTAGACTGCAGTATCCAGTCTAACTGGCTTAAAGCAAGCCAAGATCTCTCTCTGTTACAATATGCAACCATCTCTGGGAAGAGAAATTGAGAAACAACTTATTAGTGAAAATATTGTTCCGTTAAGTCTAGCATGACTTGGAAAGCAAGTGATTCCTTATATTGGGTCAAGCACGGTATCCCCTAGATGGTGCTGGTAACTGGCTGTCAAAAGGAGATGGTGAAAATTTGTGAAAACAGCATTATAAAAAGCCAGTTAAAAGATGAAAGAAACTTAGTGATTTGCTGCTTCTGAGCTCATTTAAGACATTTATAATTTTTAGTTTTGTACAGAATACACATTATTTTAATAGATTCAGTCCCTTATTGGGAAAATGTATTATGATAACCTTTGACTGTATTGCTAGTTGATTTTTTTAACAAGTTTATTGCTTCAGCAGGTATTCATTAAGATGAGGCTCTGCTGTATTAGTGAAACTCCTTTCCTCCTCTGTGCCCCCTACATAGGTTTTTTCTTTTAAAATCTCGAGGGTGCTATAATTCTTGTTTCATTCATGCCTCCTGCCCCAGGGCTTTGAGACCTGAATGTGTCTGTTCCTTTCATTTAAGACGTCACCAGAGCGATGGCAATGAAATGGCCCACCCTCGGCTGCGTGCTTCAGCAAGAGATCTGCGAGCATCACCGAAACAAGCATCCAAGTCCACCGTTGAAGAAGAGCTGAAGAAATTGATAGATCTTGATAGCCCAACACCTGAATCCCAGAAGAATTTTAAGGTATGTTAAAGAGAGAGTCTGTCATCTGCCTATCTCTTGTCACAGTTAAGTGACATCTGAGAATACCTGAAGAGCAACACACAGGTCCTCTTCTGATCCAAGTCATAGTTCAGTTGTTACAAAATAGAAATGTGTAAAGTTACGCTTTATAAGAATTTGATGATTGCGTTCATTGCTGCCTAGGCACATCAACTCATACAGCAAACGCATCACAATTTGGAAGAGGATGCTGAGTGCTTTCAAAGCAGTCAAAGCTGAAGCGTTCGTTCATACAGAGCTTACTCGGTTGGACTTTGCATTGGACTCAAGAGTTTCTCAGATAGGATCTTTTTTATTCTCACCCATAACAGGAGAATAAAATGCAAGGCATTCCCTGAATTCTCATCATGGACAGAAAGTCGTCTGTTTGTTACAGACTTACCTACTAGAGAAATACATTTGCGGGACAGTTTCATTACTACAGTCACTGCAATATTATTACAGCTGTGTGGAAATTTAAAGAGACTAGTATACCAAATTGCAAAGAATGTTTAGGACTGCTGGCTCATGGAAAATCCTGTAGCGTTGTCTTATGCATTTGAATTCTTCTGCTCCGATTGCATCACTAGACAGTGACTTGTTGACAGTATTGAAACTTGTTGTGGTTTAACCCCAGCTGGCAACTGAGCACCACACAGCTGCTCGCTCACTCCCCCCCCCCCCCCCCGGGGGGGGGGGGGGAGCCCTGAAACCCCCGGTGCCGCTTGGGGGAGCAAAAGTGAGAAAACTCGTGGGTTGAGATAAGAACAGTTTAATAATTGAAATAAAATAAAGTAAAATAGTAATAATAATAAAAAAAGAATATAAAAAGCAAGTGATGCACGATGCAATTGCTCACCACCCGCCAACCGATGCCCACCCAGTCCCTGAGCAGTGGCCTCCTGGCCAGTTTTCCCCCAGTTTATGTACTGAGCATGAAGAGAATGTCTTGATTTCTACAGTCTCCGTGTACAGTCAGTGCTTAACAGCTCAGGCTCATCACCTAGAGCCCATATGGTTTCCACAGCAACCATGCAGAAGAGAGAGCTGCAACTTCTTTCTTTGCTTGTAAAAACCTAAACTGGCATATTAAAACTTCTAAGTGCTAGGTTTCGTACACAGATGTCCTGGTTTTGGCTGGGACAGAGTTAATTTTCTTCCTAGTAGCTGGTACAGTGCTGTGTTTTGGATTGAGGATGAGAACAATGTTGATAACACACCGATGTTTTAGTTGTTGCTAGGTAGTGCTTAC